CACTCATTTCGAACACAGTGTTCTTTCGCGGTGGAATCATTCCCCTGTCTCACACGGAGATGGCATGACAACTGCGGTTTTTCCTTTAAGCCCATAAATGAATTCGTTCCATTTCCAAACATTCCCTTTCCCAGCAAGGCAAGATTACGAGAGCCTCTGAATGTCTTTTGCAGGAAGGACATATGACCACGTACATATTCAAGTTTGCCAGGTGGCTTTGGAACGCTTCAGCACGATCAAAGCTTTCTCGAGCGAGTCTTGCTCTTGTCCTAAAACCAGAGAACCACCAGTCCCTAATAGACCACTGCTTTGTTCGAGACTTCCATCTTTATGAAACATTACGGTACCATTACTGCTCTGCCAAGTAAAGCAAATGTAATGCCAGATTCCATCATTGGCCGATCCGAGTTCTCCGCTGTGATATAAATGCAATTACACTTTTATTTCGAGAAGCTCTTTAGCTCTAAAACTAAATTCTACCAAAAAGCTACTAAAGCTGAGCATTCTGAAATATGCATATCTCCGACGAACATGCCTAAAAGTTTAAATTCCTGATCTTCTATCAGAAGCAAAACCGGAATATGTTGTTAAGGGTAAACAATGAGAACACAGCAATTGATATCAAATAATTAGCGTGTGGTGTAGAAAGATTTTCGTCGTTCTCAGCATGGGAAAGGAATAACTTATAAGCAAGATACGCAAGTTGTTTTATGTATCTGACATTATGTTAGAGGTAAGAATTGAGTGCCTTGTTTTACGTCAAGTGTTGGCTATTGGATCGTTCAACGATTTGTAACAGTTTGGTTAAGTCTTTAAACGAAGCTCACCTGTTTGCACCTGCTATACTGATATTGAATCTTCTGTAATTTTCGGCGATTAGTTCATTATGACGCATGTTAATTAGTTCAGTGTAACGCATGTTAACTCCAGGTCCAACCAGGGCAAGTCCACAGCTACGATCTTCAAAGAGCAAGAAAACGAGAAGAAGAGGAAATACAACTAGAGAGTGATGGAGGTGGAAATGGGAACTTTTACGCCGTTGGTGTTTGGTACAAACGGAGGCATGGGACTTGACTGTCAGAACTTTTTAAGAACCCTCGCAAATACGCTA